GATATTGAGATGCAGCAAAGAGAAATAGGTATCAGGAAGTTAAACTCAACTGACTAAAAACTTCACTTGATTGTAAGCAAGAAAAAATTTCCTCATGAAAGAAGCCATCTTTAAGGTTCACTATGTCCGTTTCAGAGGGTGGCTGGAGTAAAACAGATTTTAGTAGCTGTAATCATTATCATCAAGTGCATTTTTATCATCGACATGGACATATGTAAGAGCTAATAGCTGTGAAAGAATATTAAGAATGGGCTTAGGATCAAGAAACAATATATTATCAATAACCTCTGGATAGTATAACATCAGGCTGACGTCATGAAAATACTGCAATGCTTCCTTTGTATCTTCCTCTTTCATGCCATATTTCCTCCCAATAGATGCTACTTCCTCAAAAGATAAGATACTTTTCTTTTTAGGCAAAGAGAGCTCAAAAGCAAACCATTGAATTGGTATTTTGATTGTAGCAGAAGCATCAGAGCCACTTTTCCATATTGCTTGGCAAACTTGTTTCCTGTATTTATCCCTCTCTTCTTTTGATTCAGCAACTGTGTTGACAGGAAATACAATAGAATTTTTTGACTTTTTGATAATACGATCTTTTAAGTAAGGTTGTAAGGAAGATATTGAACTATTTAACTTATCTTCACATTTCTGTAGAAGATCTTTATCAGGTTTATCATAATGTGTTCCCAGAACGAGATGCATCGAATGACGATGTGCTTTAGTGATGCAAGATATATCAAGAGATTTAAAATTAGCTGCTGTGGAAACAGCAGAATGGAAGGATGCTAACTGGGTTGATTTAGAGCGACACCGAAAATATCTTCCATCAGCCCTGTACATCATGTCAAGCTCATCATCAAGAGGTTTAGAAAGGTCAAGAGTGATGATATTAAGAGAAGCCGCTCTTGTAAATAATGGCAGCAGCTCTTGATATGCTGGTTGGCCACCAGAATCAATAACGTACAACCAATGGCATTTTAAATGAATGTCTTTTGGATCCTTTGCCAAAATTTCCTGAACTACCTCCTCAGCATGAAGATTAACATCATCATCTTCTATTTGATCCGATGACACAAAATCCTTAGAACCGCTTGACACTGGTGACTGATCAATGCCATCTGATGATGAAGCTTCCGTTCCTGATTCTTTTGCTTTTTCTTGTGATGCTTCAATCAAATCAGCTGCTAAACCCTCCATTAACATATCTCTTGTTATTCGTTTCCATTTCATACTCTCATAATCTACCCCTACTCTCACTGCTCGGACAGTGGGACAAGCAATTGCTGTGCTATTAGTAACTTTCTCTTTTGGAGCATCTTCATCTAACAGTAGGAGCTGTGCACAGGTTTTACCAGACCCAGGAACACCAAGCATGTTAACACGAGTAACAGTTAGATCAACGCTCCCTTTCTTCATCCATTCTCTTAAAGTACCTAGTGTAGTGAAAAAAATTTCATGACTTAATATGCAAAAATCCGATTCATTTCAAACGGCAATCGACAATACCCTATATCTGGAAATTTTCGTCAGTATTTAATTTTTGGATGCATGGCTTTGTGCGAAATTAAAATTCATGAAAATTAATTTATTCATGTGCAAGTTTTGCATGCAGATACCACGTGCATTGTCAAGACATGTGGCACTATCATCACAAAATGGCGCTGCTTTGTTTCTTCCAATTAAAGTATTTCTCCTAGTCTCCTACTGCAGTTGGCAGACAGTCTAATAAACATGGTAGCTTCTCAAACAGAGGTGCTCTGTGGGATCCTTTATAAGATCTTTAAAATTTCATATGTTATTAATTTTCAGACAGGAACCACTGTGCGAAAATAAAAGTACATGAATTTTTTCTGTCTGAAAATTTTCTCCTATGAAAATTACCAGATATACGGTACTATTCAATTTTCAAGTAATGCATATAAACCTCAATAACAGCAAGACAAAAGCAGCTGTATCAACAATAGTAGCACCTGGCTTAACCACAGCTATGTGAAGATAAGATTATAAGCATTCAAAATGCTATTTTTGCTAGTGGCAGCTACTTTTCACAACGGTTTTTTTGCAGAATGGGAACATCAATGATTTGCACAAAGCATGCTTTATGAGAGTAACAGGCTATGGTTTTTAGAGCAACTTAAAAATTCCACACACAAAAAATAAGTACATGTACCGGTATATGTATCAGAAAATGTCATAAGTGTTTTTACCTGATAATTATTACAAAAAATGATTACAGTAAATGATAACATTAAATGATTAAATGATTTAGAGTAGAGAATCAGAGCAATAATTATAGTATATACTCATAAGACAACCTATGATTACTTTTTCACTTTTGCACTTTTTAACACAAAATTTATAGGCTTCAAAAATGTATAATTAAGAATGTTACATCAAGAAAATTTTAAATAATTATTTTTAACATGCCCAAAGTTGTATTTTGTGAATACCTGAATCGCCTATATCAACATCAACGTTGAAATCAAAATAAAATTTCTTTGAGACTTTGTCTTTCCATTTCTTTGCTATGACTTGTGCACATAATGTGGCAGGTCCTTCTTGAATGACTAGACTCCTGATGAATTTCTTACAATGCTCTTGTATTTCTGTTACTGATGACATGCTTTTCAGTTTGAGCTTAAACTCTTGTACAACTGAATCTGAAAGACCTTGTGTGTACATTTCTTGGGAAATGTTAGCATGCATCACTCTAGTTATTACTCGTCTTAATCGTCTTAATCGATTGTCATCTATACCATAAATAATAGAGTAAATGAAAGTATAATGCTTATTTGCACACTAAAACTGATGTCGCCAAACCTTCAATATCTTTCAGCCTCAATTGCATTAACATCTTATCAGCATGTGTTGCTATTGTCTCATATACCGAATCCTTATTCTTCAAGACATTACAGACATTAATCAAATACTGTCGGGGATCACTGCAGCAACTCAATTGTGACACCAACGAATGCACCAGCTCATTAGCATCCTTAAACTCTAGTTTTGATATTAGTCCCTTTTGATGTAGTCTTGCAGCTACTTTATCAACATCGTCAGAAATTGCATCAGCAAGAGCATCAGATTTTGCTCGTAGTATATCTCTTGGATCCCCTACAGCAATATATAGACACTTAGTTTAACAAAGGTCTATTTACTTGACGAAAGATACGGAAAATTCCCAAAGTCATTAGCCTCGATAGCTTTATCCTCCATCACAGAATCACACGAGGAACAAGAAGAAGAATTACAAGATTAACGCAACGGCCAACGAGATAAAGAATGGTTTATTTAACCCTCCAATTAACCCTTTAGCTCTACCATTAAACGGGCGCCATCTTGCTTTGTAAATTTGTGTTCTTTTCTTTATACAGCAGAGGTTTATTCCTCCAGTCAATGGCTAGTCATAAAAGCGGAGGTGGTATTGGTCAGCCCCTCCACTGGTCTGAGAGGGAGAGAAGGCTCTGGATACTAGTATTATTTATATGTTCAATACTTATTTATGCTGCCAGGTCCTCCCTCTCTGTATCTATAGTTGAAATGGCCTCAGAATTTGACTGGAATAAAAGAACGTGTGTAAGTGATGGGAGGAGACTCTCATTAGTAACTCCTCCCCTTTTGGGTTTTAATATTTTAATTACATGTATATTGTGGGCATGACAATCAATAATATGAATAATTATATTTTGTTGCTCGTTTTTTAGATTCAATTTTTCTATTTTTTTCTATTTTACCTGTACATGTACATATACTGTTATATAATATTATTATATCAGGTGATTTTTAAGTGTTTGAATTTTGGCCAATTTGGCATTTTGAGGTGTACATGTATTTGCCAAAATAAATCTATCTGCCATTTTAAACCATTTTATGTGTGGCATGTGGCCACAAATTAGCCAAATTAAAAATTGATCCTACATGTACATAAATTTATCAGTTTAAATGTATGTAGCTCCTCCAAAATACAACACTTCTTTTGCTACATGTACATTTATTAAATTCTCTTGTTCATTTTCTCCCCCCCTCTCTCTCTCTCTCTCTCTCTCTCTCTCTCTCTCCCTCCCTCCCTCCCTCCCTCCCTCCCTCTCTCTCTCTCTCTCTCTCTCTCTCAGGGTATCATTCTCTCCTCATTCTTCTGGGGTTACAGTGCTACTCAGGTGATAGGAGGACAGTTAGGTGATAAATATGGTGGAGAGCTAGTACTGTGGACATCAGCACTGGTTTGGGGTGGGGCAGTTCTATCAATATCTATTGTAGCTAGTATATCAACCACTTTAGTCTTTGTAGCTCACCTCACTAATGGACTCAGTCAAGGTAAGGGAGGGAGAGAGAGAGAGAAAGTTTGAATTAAGTAATAAAAGTAGTTAAATAAAAGTAGTATTTAAACTAAACTTTGTACATATCGTTTGTCTTTAAGTTTCAAGAAGCTACACGTACATCTACTAATGCATTTAATGTTACTATTACCTGTACATAATTTACTTTCAATGTATATCTATTATGTATAATCCTACTTGAATAATTGTTGTAAAAATTGACTACATGTACCCTTGCCTATATTTATGAAGTTTTAAAATACATGAAGCATTCTTTTTAGCTCACTTGACTTGCTTTATGGGAAACCTGATACCAGTAGTATAGTAGTAGCAATATTTAACAGAACATTGACTGGTGTACATGTGCATGTATATGTATTATATTATTATTATTTTATAATTATAACATACTTTTAAGTATTACAAGTATTAGGTATGCATGTACATGTATGTATAATATTATTATGTACAATATTCAATGTATCTTTTATCCATACATTCTTAGGAGTGTATTTCCCTGCTATTGCTAGTTTATTGACCACTAGAGTATCTGATGAGAATAGAAGTTTTGTAAACGGGGCTGATACATGCTGGACCACAACTAGGGTGAGTATCATTATTTAATTTAGGGCATTTTGGCAATTAATACTATTATTAATTTATAATTTATGT